GTCTCTCCCCCCCCCCCATGCCCCCTCCCCCCCCCCGAGGGGGTTGCAGCGGTGCTTGGAGTGTAGGAGGAAAATGTTAGACCCACTCATCGATTGTTGGGGCCCGTCCTTAGAGTAGGTCACTTTTTTTTTAATGGTGGCCATTTTTACCCCCCTTCCTTCCCCCTATCACAATCTGTGAGCAATCTAAGACAATCCCTCCCCCACCTTTAAAGTACGTCATTCTTTCGATGTGTAAACTTTAAAAATTGAAAACCATTTAAAATTTAATCTAAAACACACTTCACAGTGAAACTATCAAACTTAAAAGAGTGACATTGTTACGTACTGTCATCAGTATGGAGAAATTAATTTATTATTTACGTATATGGCTCGTTCTAAAACAGTACACAACAAAAGACGATGCCATATGTTCAATACAATGACAAAGTATACGATACTCAAAACAGGGCTAATTACAATTAATAAATTTTATTATGTTATTTATGAATTACAAAATCAAAAGAAATATAAAGCTATTGACTTACAGTATAATGATTGGCTTGTACCGGTAAAATGTTGAAGAAGATAAAATGATGAAAAGGAATCTACACGCACACACACACAAACACACAGTAAACAAATCTCTGTCTCGTAGCAAAACTCTAGAGCAAAAATGACACAGCTCGAAATAACTTGCATCTGATCCTCCGCTCAATCTCTCTAGGCTTTTGTATAGCCTGTTTCATAGATACTTCTAGAACTGACTTACACATTATATTCCTTTTTCGATATTTCTATATAATTCTACAGAATTCTAATAATAATACAAACCTTAGATTTTGTTAGTTGTAACCAAGGTCAAGAGAAACTATATTTAGTTAGCCACACCCTAATAGCGCTGCCGAACCTGGGGTCAGGTTAAGCTCATTCACCAGGAAAGATGAATGAAAGTAAACGAGACGTCTATAACATGTCAGAAGTCAGAATACATCCATCACAACAGAAGGTTCAAAATCACCTTCAAATTCAGGTTTTTATAAGGATGATAAAGTAAATTTTAAGATGTGTCAGGCCACTCAATATTGTTAACCAATCCCTCCCCCCCCCCCCCCCCGTGTCAAAAAAGGTGATACTATCTTAGACCACCCCCGTCCCCGGAGCCTGACGTACCCATGGACGGCCCCTTGTGACGTACTATGTGGACGGCCCCTTGTTACGTACCCTATGGACGGCTCCTTGTGACGTACCCTATGGACGGCCCTTTGTGACTACCCTATGGACGGCCCCTTGTGACGTACTCTATGGACGGCCCCTTGTGACGTACTCTTTGGTCGGCCCCTTGTGACGTACCCTATGGACGGCCCATTACGAACAACTCTGCACAGGACAGACAGCTATTTGCTCTATAATGCCATCATTTTGTTATGAGGTTTAAACATTTTCGTAGCCTCAAGATTAACCAAGATATCAGTTTTTTTTTTTAACTTTTAAAGAAAAAAAAAACATTGGGAAGGTGCTGAGAAAGAAATTTAAAGTTGGGCAGTACTTGACCCATTTAATAACCATTTATCTATTGTCCAAAGGTATCAGTTAACTTATGTAAAAATCTTCATTAATTTGTAATCTATTTTTGGCATTCCGATATTTCTGAAACACGACGAGAACCTCCCAAATTCACTGACTTTGATGATGTCATGATAAAACTGGAAGATTTCAAAGATAGGAATGGGAGGCTCCCAGAAATTGTTCGCTCTAAGTCAAACACAGTTTGTCCCCGGATGACATCGCCCCCAGTGACGGCCCATGGGCGTAGAAAGAGCGGCTGGGGGGTTGGTTGGTTGGTCCAGGGCGGCAGATTTTTAGGGAAGGGATTTTCGGTCATCTTCATCTCTCATGTATATTTTGATGGTGGTGCGTCCTGCTTCCTTTTTACACTCGCCCCCCCCCCCCAACTACTTAACATGTTTTATAGTACTGAGTGTAAAAGAAAAAGATGTCATGCGTGACGGTTGAACTCAGGTAAAATGTTGATTTTTTTTTTTGGGGGGGGGACTTTTATTTTAATTAATACTTAACATGTTTTATAGTACTGAGTGTAAAAGAAAAAGATGTCATGCGTGAAGGTTGAACTCAGGTAAAATGTTGATTTTTTTTTTTGGGGGGGCGACTTTTATTTTAATTAATAAAGAGCCATGGCTATGGTGCAGGACTGTCTGTAGGAATTTGTGTGGGCCTATGGTTTAAAGGCCGGCATATATTATTTTAAATGAGAAGCTTTTTGTGTGTAACACTTGGACCCATCGGATACTTTCTCAAATAACCTGACCGGTGTAAAAAAAAAAAAAACAAAAACAAAACAAAACAAACTGCACTCGGTTAAGCCCTAGTATACTATATGTGGCTTATATTTAATATGTATTATGTTGGGTTTTGTTGTTTTTTTGTTTTTTTTGGGGGTGGGGGAGGGGGTTTCTCAGTGAGAGGGGGCAAAGGAAGGGACTTCCAGTTCTACGCTACTCATAACGAACGCCCCGTGATTGACGGACGGTATCTGACAAGTTGGTTTAGCGCCTGGTTACATTCAGTCCCAGATCAGCTGTAAAACCTCGGTGTGTGTGTGTATAACACGAAAGAAGGGAGGGGGGGGGATGGGGCACAACTCTAATGGGGCACCAAATGCATCAACACGTGTCATCTCGCGTGGCCATCACCTTTCTAAACAAACAAAATGCCCAGCCAGTCAAGGGCTGATCAATAGAGTCCACACATCATGGGGACTGGAAATAATTCTAACTGCCTTCCGTGCAGACTAACGTCCGGAGTATTAGATTTAACCATTGCTACCCGATATTTTTGTGTGTGCAGAGGTGGGGGGGGGGGGGGAGAGATTTTTTTACATAATGCGTCATTTCGTAGCATCTTATTGTTAGCGTTTCCACATGACTTGGTATGTGCTAGGTACCGTTATGTGGTTTATGCAAATTTAATCTGTTATAACCATTGCTACCCGATATTTTTGTGTGTGCAGAGGTGGGGGGGGGGGGGTGGAGAGATTTTTGTACATAATGCGTCATTTCGTATCATCTTATTGTTAGCGTTTCCACATGACTTGGTATGTGCTAGGTACCGTTATGTGGTTTATGCAAATTTAATCTGTTTTAAGATTTGGCACATTTCTTGAGCAATACATAACAAAGGACTGAAAACCAGTATACAAAGAGAAACTATACCCAAGCTAGTGAGATAGAATCTTCAATTTAATTATGCTTTTAAATTTATTTATAAAAATATACAAAATCAAATAGACAGATATAACATTTAAAAATCTACATCAACTTACAGCAAGTGAAAAAGTGCAATCCTCGAAAGATACACATATTCATATGCACGCACACATCTTGTAAGGCTCCTGTATTATCTCGCAACTGTCTAGGAGAATTAGCGAAAATCTCCCTCTTCCGGCCGGGAAAACTGCCGGCTTATTTATAGTGAGAGAGTTATAACCCTCCAGGAAAGAAATTCTAGAAATTGCATCACCCGACAGCCTTCTTTAGAACAAATAGAATGTAAGCAATGTTTTCAAAATCAAGGGAGGGGTGGGGTTGGTACAGCGCTACAGATTTAACGGGTGACGTCAATATACAAATAAAAGGTGCGTGGGAGACAAGTGATGGTCACTACAACGCTAAGATAAAGTAAAATTAGGTCGACACACGTGCTATAACAGTTTGATTCTAATGCTATCTTCGCAGGTTTGGCCATAGACTGGGTGTCCAGACACCTGTACTTCACAAACATGGGCCAGTCAAGTCCAGGCCTAGATGGTGCCGTCTATGTCTGGCATCGCTTGGAGAAAATTTCTTTAGATAAAAAAGAAAGAAGGACAGTTGTCAGTGCCGTGGAAAGGCCCAGGGGCGTCGCCATAGATTTAGAAAACGGGTAAGTCGCCAAGAAGCAACATCTTAATTCTTCTAAAAATTCTGATGAATATTTTCCACACCTGTATTTTAAAAAAAAAGTTAATGGGGGCTTAGTACTTTGGCTTTTGTGTGGAGTTAGCGTGTGTGTGGTAAGTGTGTAAGGGATTTGTTTATGTGGTTGGCATGAGAGTCTTTTAATGAGCATTTTTGGATTCTTAGAAAAAAAACAAAAAACAATCGCTAATAACTCTAGTTTCTTATTGTCTCAATAAAATGACCCTTGACCTTTGCCAGGCTCCTTTTCTACGGAGACTGGGGTAAGAAGCCACAGATTATACAGGCCCAGCTGGACGGCTCGGACAGAAAAGTTATCCTGGACCATGAACTGACCCACCCCAATGGGTTGTCCTTCTACGAGGGACGGCTGTACGTGGCGGACTCAAACATCAACAACAAGTCCTACGCCCCACATCTCATGGTCTATGACGTCAGCACACAGGAATGGACGCCACTGAAACTCAGCAACAACTTCTCGGTGAGATTATTTTTATTCCAACCACCTGTTGAATGGTCTTGAGTTTTTCATCTGCATTGAAATGTTTTACTACAGGGTGTTGTTTGTTTTTTTTTTTTTTTTTTTTTTTTGGGGGGGGGGGGGGGGGGGTTTTGTTTTGTTTTTTTAGATGTGGGCTTAAGTGTCTCTCTGCTTGGTTAGAGTGAAACTTCAACTCTACCATTCAAGCCACAAATTATTGATTAAAATATGTCTTCTTCATTTCTAACCTATTATATCAAATCTTTACATTTATTTTAAATTTATCCCAGGGTTGCTGTATAATAATAATAATAATAAAGTTTATTTGAAAAACACGCTTCATCCCCAAAAGCTCGAAGCGCGGTAAAAAGCCAACCATATTAAACAAGAGACATGAAAACAAGCTAAACTTTACCACATTTAAAAACAGACGCAACAATATAAAGCTACATACGAGCATACCAAGTCAAAGTCTTTCATCCCGTTTCAACCATAAGCAACACAGACCAATATACATTAACTGAAAAAGATGGTAGATAGCATCACCCCAGAAGGTGTTTGCGAAATAGATGTGTTTTTAAATCGGTTTTAAAGTATCTGTGACAGCTACATACACAAATGAATGTATCACTGATTTTATTTTACTGAAGTCCTGTGAATCGCTTACACATAGTGCAGATGAGAAAGAACCCAACATAACTGATGATAAGCCAATACCGAGCATAACAGAGCTCAGTTGACGTTAAATGCTTTGATTAAAATGCAAGCTTACGGCAGGACATGGTGTACGGTCCCTGAAGACAGCCATGGAATATCTAGTTAAATATTAACAGAAACTTGATTATTGAATTGATAATTCCTTTGTCCAACTGTTTCAGATCCCCATGGGCCTAGCAGTGCAAGGGGACACACTCTACTACTCGGACTGGGTCAGCAACGAAAGTCTCAAAGGATACATCAAATCTTTCAACCTGCGTTTTGGGGTAGACAACAATGTTATCCTCAATGGGATGAGGCCAACAGGGCTGCATTATTCCCCTTTGGCCAAACGGAAACATGGTTAGTGATAAGGGGCCCCTACACATATTAAAGGACACAAAAATTCTAAACCTTTTTTAACCAACCCTACCCATTATGCATATATAACTTTTCCATTGAGCACCTCCCCCCACACTAATATTATATAACTTTTCCATTGAGCACCTCCCCCCCCACACTAATATTATATAACTTTTCCATTGAGCACCTCCCCCCCCACACTAATATTATATAACTTTTCCATTGAGCACCTCCCCCCCCACACTAATATTATATAACTTTTCCATTGAGCACCTCCCCCCCCACACTAATATTATATAACTTTTCCATTGAGCACCTCCCCCCCCACACTAATATTATATAACTTTTCCATTGAGCACCTCCCCCCCCACACTAATATTATATAACTTTTCCATTGAGCACCTCCCCCCCCACACTAATATTATATAACTTTTCCATTGAGCACCTCCCCCCCCACACTAATATTATATAACTTTTCCATTGAGCACCTCCCCCCCCACACTAATATTATATAACTTTTCCATTGAGCACCTCCCCCCCCACACTAATATTATATAACTTTTCCATTGAGCACCTCCCCCCCCACACTAATATTATATAACTTTTCCATTGAGCACCTCCCCCCCCACACTAATATTATATAACTTTTCCATTGAGCACCTCCCCCCCCACACTAATATTATATAACTTTTCCATTGAGCACCTCCCCCNATATTAAATAACTTTTCCATTGAGCACCTCCCCCCACACTAATATTAAATAACTTTTCCATTGAGCACCTCCCCCCACACTAATATTAAATAACTTTTCCATTGAGCACTGTCACAGAGCTAAGTTGAGGTAAGGGAGTTAAGTGAGAATTAGGACTTATAATTTATAGACTATGGAACTTGATAAAAGGAACGAATCAGAGAAGAGAATGGAGGATGGAATCATGGCGGTTTTTATAAGAATAAGTCCATGCTATTAATATATTAATTAGTTGATGAGATAATGAATAGGTTATGAGTGTGATAAGTATTCTCTATTTGTGATTATAATTGCTTATTCGTGAGTGTGTATTAATAATAAATGATAGTCATTATCTTTCACTGAACCCCACAACGCCTCTGTTATTGATAGATATAGAATATTATTATATAGTTAGTAATTAGCATTGTGGTAGTCTTAGTCTGTGCACGGTGAGTGAATATAGACGTGACAAACACCTCCCACCCCCCCCCCACTAATATTCTATAACTTTTCCATTGCGCACCTTCCCCCACACTAATATTATAATGTTTTTAATAATTGTAAAGCGCTTAGAGCTTTAGGGTAAGCGCTATATAAAAATGCCTAAATAAATAAATAAATATATAACTTTTCCATTGAGCACCTCCCCCCACACTAATATTAAATAACTTTTCCATTGAGCACCTCCCCCCCACACTAATATTATATAACTTTTCCATTAAGCACCTCCCCCCACACTAATATTATATAACTTTTCCATTGAGCACCTCCCCCCACACTAATATGAAATAACTTTTCCATTGAGCACCTCCTCCCACACTAATATTAGATAACTTTTCTAGCAAAGCCCCAATCCGCCCCGCCACACAAGAAAAAAATTAATAAAAACAAAAAAACAAGCCATTTTCAAGCAAAAAAAACAACCAAAAAAAAACAGAAATATTTTTTTTTTAAATTTCAAATTATTGTTAACAGAACTGTACACTTTAATTTTATATATTTTATAAATACTCTAATTTTGTGAATGTAAATAGCAGGAATGTCGCAAAAATAACATAAATATGTTTTTTTAATAAATAAAAATAATTGCACTCTTCCCCCCATCCCTTTATAACACAATATAACAATATGATAAACCACCCCCACTCCCTTCTTTTGTTATTTAATATGCGCTGGGTCCTTATTTCCGTTGATCTATTTGAACATTGGTGTCCATCCACATTTGGTAAATGGTATGATGGTTTTTTAAAATTAAAAAAACCCCAAAAACAGTGAATCTAAACCCATATGTTACGTGTTATAAATAAAAGTTAGACAAACAGCATTTGAATAAATGGAAAATATTTCTGAAAAGACACAAATCAAACTTTGGACAAATAATTAAGTTATATTTTAGTGAAAAATGACAAAGAACTTTCATGGGTAGCTGTTACTGCAATAATAGGCTATACATAACACAAGAGACTCCTACTTGTTTCTATTCATTAAATGACTTGTAGGTTGTGATTAATGTTCAGGTAATAAGCATCATCATACTCTCTAAATATTTATGAACCTAAGTAGACAAAATGGCAACTGTTTTTTTTTTCCAAATCTTATTCATTTAGGATGCTTTTAGATGTGCTAAAATGCTTAAGGCCATGGAGAAAAGTAAGAATGAGAAGGATTTGATTGTAGTTAACCCTTCAGTTGAAATTCTCTTACTTCCAATTACTGACAGGATCATTATTTATTTATTTTTAGATTTCCTAGATGCTGTATGTGAAAAGTCCCCCTGCAGCCATTCATGTGTGAGAACCCCCCTCAACAAAACAAATCCTTTCAAATGTTTGTGTCCAGATGAATCCACCAAAGTTCTCTCCAGCAATGATGCATCTTGTGCAAGTAAGTGTAACCAATGTTCTTTTAGTATGTTCATGGGAGGTTTTTTTAAAACTATAACTTTACTTTTTTTATCAGGCTCTATTCCTGTTGATTTCACATTATGCCATGCTATTAACTTCTCTATTTGATAAATTTAATTCACTATACAAAATAAGCCAACAGTTTAATATATAGCCCTGCATTGGTCACTTGAAAGTTCCACCTCAGCAGTTTGAAGCAGTAATAGTCTTAAACACTCCTGGTGTATGAACTAATATTTACCAGGACCAACCAACTTCCTGCTCGTAGCAGACCTGAATACCCTGAAGTTGGTCTCCCTTGATGACAACACAGAAAGTGGAGCCCGCACTTTCCTGTATGACAGCATAGATTCCAACTTTGTGGCCTTGATCTATGATGAGGTCACTGACACCATCTATTGGAGTGATATTACAAAGTAAGTGAAACATTTTTGTACAAAAGTAATATTTCCAATTCTGCAGAATCAGTTCTGCTGTCGGTATTACGGAGACAGTTGTAAAACTCTTCAGGCTTGCAATAAAACATGCTGGCATCATTAAAAAAAAAGTTTTAAAAAAATGTGTAATGCTTGCTTGTCTTGAAAAAAATAAAGGCTGTTCACTGTCAGTCCAAATTTACAATCTTTACAATAATAAATATTTCAATTAGGAGCTTAAAAAACTATTATCTAGTTTATTAGTGAGTCCTCTATAAAAACTCATCATTAGTATCTTTTAATATCTTTTAAATTTTATTAAATATTTTTTATTTTCTTCACATCTAACTACAAGTAAACTAATGATAATTCTTATCTCAGATGTTTAATATGGTTCTCTTATTCCAGACAATCCATTTACTCATCTCCTTTCTTGGAGTTTGAGCCCCAGCTCGTCTACCATGCCAACCACTACATCGATGGCCTGGTCATGGACACAGACAAGCAGCGTTTATTCTGGACGGGATACACCCACAATGGGTCAGGGGTCATTGCCAGGCTACATCTTCAGAGAGGGAAGGAATCTTATCATGAGATTATGGAGGGCCTGAACAATCCCAGGGCAATACATCTTGTCCCAGATAAAAAGTCAGTGTGCCAGATATATACAATAAACCTTTTAAAAAATTTGTTCATTAGCCATTCACAATGTATTACATAATCATTAAGCTTTTGAATAATACATTTGGCACTTAAAGAAAATAAAATCAGTATCTATTAAGTAACACCTATATATATATTTTCTTACAGTTCAGCACTGTACTAATCAATGCACAACATGAAGCTGTTTTCACTTAATAGAAATATATAAATTAATATCAGCATCCATGCCATCTACATTGAGAGCTCTCATGTCATATCCTTTGTTGCAATAGAATTATTTTCTGGACTGAATATGGAGGTAAGAGTGGACCGGCTTGTGTCCAGAGGGCAAAGATCAGTGGACGCAACCCTAAAATGTTGATGTCTCACCGCTTGTTCTGGCCTAATGGACTTGCTACTCATCATCAGACTCTGTTTGTGGCTGATGGAGCTGGGAAAGTATTCTCTATGGATTTTGAAGGTTTGGCTAAATTTTTTTATGTGACCAAGTGTAAGGAAATACAATTGAATTTTTGTATGACTATGTTAATTTATAAAAGTTTATGAGATACCAGATGACAGGTTGGAGATTAATCCGGCATTGAAGAGTAAATAAAAAAATATTATGATAATTAAATGTGTAAACTACATTTTTTTAATTATGTTTACATAATTCAAATTAAAAAAATACAGATAAATAATTGAGATATATTATATCGCATGTGAACAACATGAGGCTAAAAAATCATTTCTTGTAAATGCTATTAAAATTTCAAATATATCTTTTATTTTTATAACTACCCCAACATCATGATAAAAGAAGAAAATCTTATTAAAAGAGTTTAGCAAAGCTTTTGGTAAAAAGATGCACACTTGTGAAAAACAATTTTTTAAAAACCTGTTGATTAATATGAATTTTATTGTTAATGGAAAAACTGTGTGATATCTTTATAATACTAATCAAGAATTTGATGTCTTTTTCCAGGGGAAAATCAGCAAGAGTTATCTTATCTGACAGGTCCAGCTTTACATATCTTTGGCCTCTACGTCATGGACACTGTCTTATTTTACTCTGACTGGTACACCAACAGTGTGTACATGGTTAACAGGGTGACTGGAAAAATTGACACCATTGTTAGCCATCTTTCACGCCCCACAAGTATTGCTGTCTACCATCCCACCAATCTAACAGGTCATTGACGATACCGTTGATATTAAGAACACGGATTACCTTATGTTCCACATTATTTACATCTTATATTTTAAATGCCATATTTTCATTCTAAATTAATTTTTTTTAACAAATCGTACACCAATTTGTTTGTTTTAAAGAGCTTTATTTTATTTTTTTCCTTAAAGTCAGTAGTTAAAACAATCTCTTCAAAAGGGTCAGAGATCTTTATTTTGATTGTGTAGGAAATTTTTGTGATGAATGAAGAGTACAAAGATATTGCTGACAACATCCAGAGTTAATTCTCTGATTATTTATTTTTCAGTTCTCAATCAGTGCTCACAGGAAGGGAAAAGGTGTACGCAAACATGTGTACCTGTGCCAAGGTCATTCCACTGTACATGCGCTGTAGGGTCCAAGCTGGCGTCTGATGGATTTACCTGCATCACAAGTAAGCTCAAGAGATTAATTGAAAGTGATTTTCTAAAATTATGATAATTTTTTTTTTGGTAAGGATATATATTTGTGATTAGACAGTAATGAAATGAAATAATTTAGTATGAAATATGGGAGGAAGGATAACCCATTTTTTATGTTATCAGAAATGAATTATTATTCTCTTTTTACATCATAGTGGTTAGTCCATGGGAGGTTACTGAAGAATCAAAGTGTGACAACCAGTGCCATGACAATGCCTATTGTTCTCAGCTAGTTCCCTTGCTTGAGTACCAATGTGTTTGTAAAGCAGGTTATGAAGGAGATGGTCTGAGATGTTCAGGTAATTTATTGGTGACTTTAGCTTTCAACTGTTTGCTTAAAGTTTTTTTTTAAGTTAGCGACTTTCAAAAATTGTATTAAATAAAAATTCTTCATAGCTACTGCAGCACTTTTTTAAAAGTTAAAAAAAACTAACTAAACCGCCATGTTTCATAGGCATGTGTACGCTAATCTTGTAACCATTTCTCACTTGGTATCCCCAGAGTGTGGAGAAGATTTTTATAAACCACTACTGGGCAACGACACTTGTTATCCCTGTCCTCCTGGCGCCAGCACCCAGGCAAGCAAGACAGCCACTCAGTGCTTCTGTGAGGATCCTCAACTCTCACTGATCAATGGGGTCTGCTCTGGTAAACTCAATTAGTTTTGGAACCAGTGCCTAAAACCCTAGGGCTTGTTGTTTTTTTTTTTTACATAACATTAATTTTTTTTTGTTAAGAAACAATCAAATCTGTTCAACTATTTTTATTAATGTTTATAAACAATGTTCATTGATTCAAGTGTTGTTAAACCTTATTTAGTCCTTGACATAGCCATGTTTCCCAACTTTCAGATGCCACAACCACAGTGAGCACAACAATTGTGAGCACATCTCCACCTATAGAAATTGTCACTGACAGAATTTTTGCAATGACGACACCAGATGAAGATGATACCACTGAGCTTACAGAGAGCAGTGCAGAGGAAATGCCTGGTAACTTACTTGGGTTCAATACCTTTCTGTCTGTAATCAAATTTACTAAGATTCATTCACACCTTAGTCCCATTAACAAAGTAAATCCTGGGTAATCCAGTTCAAGTAATAATAAGCACTATAAATAGCCTCTTGCTTATTTAATCCCACTGCAATCCTTGTTTTCATTATCAGGCTTGCCTTCTTTGTCCGGCTGCCCACATGGAGCCATCATGAAGATGAAACTCCCAGAAACGAGCAACAAAATATTTCTTCCCATCAACTGGACAGCCAGGGATGGTTTCGGCAGGGACCTACAAATGATATCAAACTTTGGTATATCAGACAACAAAATCATCATTCCCTGGATAGCCAATGGCAATGGAGGACAGCACACGATTGTGTTTGAGGCTAAAGACAACTGGATGCAGGTCACAACCTGCCAATTCCAGGTTTTCATAGAAGGTAAAGCCAGGTTAATAGTTCCTCTTGTTACTCTGAGCCCAGACACCCTTAGCCTAGATACCCTTAGCCAAGATACTCTTAGCCAAGACACTCTTAGCCAAGACACTCTTAGCTGAAATACTCTTAGCCGAAATACTCTTAGCTAAGATACTGTTAGCCAAGATACTCTTAGCCACAATACTCTAGGCCAAGATACCCTTAGCCAAGACACTCTTAGCCAAGATACTCTTAGCCAAGATACTCTTAAACAAGCTACTCTTAGCCTTGTAACTATTTGGTGTATGTCATAAATACGCAGTACAAGCAGAGTTCTATAATGTAGTCATTTAAAAATTACTCTTTCAAAATGAAAAATTACTCTTTCTAAATGAATAATTCTTGTGCTAAAAATTGCAACAAAAAAAAGTGTGTGCAAAATGAATGCAGTTATTTCATTTGTTCTTTGACACTTTCAAATAAACTTTTAAAGAACTTTGATAATTGCTTTTTGAAATTTTATTGTGATCTTTATATTGCAGATACATCACCACCTAGATTTTCAAACTGCCCACAAAGTATTGAAAAGAAAACATCCATGAATAGTGAGCCGATCAGCTGGATTCCCCCCATAGCTATGGACAACGCCCATGATCCAATAGTGTCCAGCACGCATGAACCAAAAAGTGAATTTCAAATTGGAACAACAGTTATCACATACACAGCCTTGGACTTGTCGGGGAACATGGCCAACTGTACTTTCAATGTGACATTAATATATGGTGAGTTTCATTAGGGCAACTGTACCTTTAATGGGACATTAATATATGGTGAGTTCATTAGGGCAACTGTATGTTTGATGTGACATGATGAATGGTGAGTTCATTAGGGCAACTGTATGTTTGATGTGACATGATGAATGGTGAGTTCATTAGGGCAACTGTATGTTTGATGTGACATGATGAATCGTAAGTTCATTAGGGCAACTGTATGTTTAATGTGGCATGATGAATGATGAGTTAATTAGGGCAACTGTATGTTTGATGTGACATGATGAATGGTGAGTTCATTAGGGCAACTGTATGTTTGATGTGACATGATGAATGGTGAGTTCATTAGGGCAACTGTATGTTTGATGTGACATGATGAATCATAAGTTCATTAGGGCAACTGTATGTTTAATGTGGAATGATGAATGATGAGTTCATTAGGGCAACTCTATGTTTGATGTTACATCATGAATGATGAGTTGATTAGGGCAACTGGATGTTTCATGTGACATGATTATTGGTGAGTTCATTAGGGCAATTGTATGTTTGATGTAACATGATGAATGGTGAGTTCATTACGGAAACTGTATGTTTGATGTGAAATGATGAATGATGAGTTCATTAGGGTAACTGTATGTTTAATGTGACATGATGGATGAGTTCATTAGGGCAACTGTATGTTTCCTGTGACATGGTGAATGATGAGTTCATTAGGGCAACTGTATGTTTGATGTGACATGATGAATGGTGAGTTCATTAGGGCAACTGTATGTTTAATGTGACATGATGAATGGTGAGTTCATTAGGGCAACTGTATGTTTGATGTGAAATAATGAATGGTGAGTTCATTAGGGCAACTGTATGTTTAATGTGACATGATGAATGGTGAGTTCATTAGGGCAACTGTATGTTTGATGTGACATGATGAATGGTGAGTTCATTAGGGCAACTGTATGTTTCATGTGACATGATGATTGGTGAGTTCATTAGGGCAAGTGTATGCTTCATGTGACATGATGAATGGTGAGTTCATTAGGGCAACTGTATGTTTAATGTGACATGATGAATGGTGAGTTCATTAGGGCAACTGTATGTTTGATGTGAAATAATGAATGGTGAGTTCATTAGGGCAAGTGTATGTTTAATGTGACATGATGAATGGTGAGTTCATTAGGGCAACTGTATGTTTCATGTGACATGATGATTGGTGAGTTCATTAGGGCAAGTGTATGCTTCATGTGACATGATGAATGGTGAGTTCATTAGGGTAACTGTATGTTTGATGTGACATGATGAGATATGAGTTTATTAGGGTAACTGTATGTTTCATGTGACATGATGATTGGTGAGTTCATTAGGGCAAGTGTATGTTTAATGTGACATGATGAATGGTGAGTTCATTAGGGCAACTGTATGTTTGATGTGACATGATGAATGGTGAGTTCTTTGGATACTTTTACTTTTCATTTTACTATATTATATAGTAAGTTAATTTGGAAACTGTATGTTTAATGTAATGATCGTATTGGGTAAGTTTATGGGGATAAATGTGGGGTTGATGTGAGATTAATTTACAATGAGTCAATTTGGCCAACTGTAAGTTTAAAGATCATTTGGCCAAGTTTAAATATTTCTTTCTTTTATAATTTTGTAAGTTATCCTAGCTCATGTACACCACATATTTCCATTGTTTAAGTTACCCTAGCTCATGTATGCCACATATTTCCATTGTTTAAGTAACCCTAGCTCATATACACCACATATTTCCATTGTTTAAGTTAACCTTGCTCATGTACGCCACACATTTCCACCTCCAACAGAGCAGCCATGCAATCTGCCAGAGATGAAGAATGGAGTTTTTATCTGTGAGTCCGGAGATTCTGACATCTGTCACATTGCTTGCAATGAAGGCTACATCTCGAACCCACTGGGAATGTTTCCAAGACCGTTTAGCTGTTTGGTGGAGAGTGACATTCAGAATCTTCTCAAGATCATGAAGAAAAGGGAACCTTGTCTGAGTATGACTTTTTATAATATAGATGAGTCTTGTCAAATTTCAATTGATAAATTAAATCATTATTTAAATGAAACTTGGTAAATTTTATATTGTACCGGGTAGTTAAACAAGACTTTGCTAGATTTAATTTTTTTTTTAAATTTTCAAATTAATTAGTTTGAAATGACCTGTTTAAAGATAAATTTTAACAAATTTTTTATTGATAGGAGCTAATAAAAATATATCAATATTCTATAAGTTTGTTTAATAAAATGTTATTTTACTCACAGAACAGCGTAGGCCAACTAAGGCACATCAAGAGTTTAGTTTGGCGTTCAATGGACCATGCCGTCCAAACAGTACCAGCATAAAGGCTATTTTAAAGGAAAAGGTTTGTGAACATTGGAGAATTTGCACAATGGATCTCAAAGTTTGTACTTCATTCTCTGCATCAAGTAAAAACTTTGAAAATTGTAATGATTTGAAAGCCTGTTACTTGTTTAATGTGATATATTAATGCAGCAAAAACCTTTTAAAAGGAGGAGTTCACATGAAATAGTGCTTTAGATAATTTTTGCTGAGAGTTGAGTAGTGTGACCTGGGTGCAATCTTACAGTTGATACCAAAAGCATTAACCAACAAAAATTTAATAATTTCTAGTCATCGTTCTAGCCCAATTAGGAAACATTGCACCACCTCTTAAAGTACCACTGGCCACTACTAGATCTTTGCAGCCTATTCTTCTTTATCTTTACCTCCAGAAAGACAAATTTTTAGATAAATAAGGCACACATTTTCTTGATGAGGACATTTTTTGTTGTTTAAATACGAACATTGACAAGATAAAGACGTGTACAGACTAAGATATTTCTGTTATATACTAATCTTTTGGTGTTGTTTACCTTTTATAACAATGTTATAGACTAATCTTATAGTGTTGTTTACCTTTTATCACAATGTTATAGACTAATCTTATAGTGTTGTTTACCTTTTATAACAATGTTATAGACTAATCTTGTAGTGTTGTTTACCTTTGATAATAATGTCACAGGTGATTTCCAAACTGGAAGAGAAAAGGTTATGTTATGGAGCCATCTGCACCCATAGCCCTATAGCCATTGTATGTGGACCTGTGTTCAAGAGGAGGAGATATGCTGAGGAAAAGTTTAATATGACTTGGAATGTAACCATTGAATACGCTCCAAAGTCATATGAAACATAGTAAGTTATACCTGCATCTGAGACTCAATCTGTTTCAGATTTTTAAAAAAAAATGAAGTTTGAGAAATATGTATTACTTCAGCTTCATTCAAATTATATTAGAATCTGAATCCATGACTGAATCCATGACATCAAATCTGATGCCTATTTATTTTAGTATTAAGTTAATTGTATTGTAATTTGCTCTCTTTATAAAAAAATAAAATAATTCATGTCATATTATTTAGAACATAACACACACACCCTTCTTTGACATTTAACAAATATCTTGCTTGACTCATGCAAATTAAATAATAAATCTAATAAATTAAATACATCTCCTTCTAATAAACTTTCATCTATAAACCAAACAAAATACCAAAAAGTAAAGAATCTTTTTGTGTAATGTAATACTAGGGCTTAGCCAGGTGTGGTTTTTTTACACCGGGTCCAGGTATTTTGAGAAAATACCTGGTGAGAAAATACCTGGTGGGTCAGAGTGTTAAGCAAACAGAGTTAACTGCTCATTTTCTATAAACAATAGTCCTACAGACAGTCCTTAGATAGTCCTATTCACACAAATTTTATCACACATTTCTCAGCTCACAAGGGTATTATCTATTATCTTTGACATATTTTTAAATTCTTTTATAATTAAATATTTGTGGTATAACTGGCAACAACATTTGAAAACCTAAATTACTTACCTCAGTATTTTTACTTCCTCCTGGCAGTACTGGCTTCAGTCCTGGCCAAGTGAAACAAATTGTTACAGACATGAAGTTTGAACTGAAAAAACTGGCAGCTCACCTTAACTTCTTTCATGAGGAGGAGAATTTCAGTCCAGTCCCCAGCAGTATAAATGCAAAAGACTTTCAGTGGCTCTGTCAGCATGGGGAAATGAAAATTTTAGATGGTTGTGGTAAGTCAGTCTTCTTAAATAGGGACCTTGGTATGATCCAGGAAGTGCCATAAACCGGGTATTGTTATTTCCTTGTCAAAATTGCGACCTCCACTTTTTATTTTATAGAGGGTAGCATTGTTTCCGATTTTTTTTGCTGAAGTTAGTTTTGTTAATAAACTCTACTTCTGCCCTCAACTTAAAGCAGACATGTTTTTATTTGACTCTTTTCTTTTAGAAAAAATTTGATGGTTTGACTTTGAAAATTGATGGTAATTTGACTCATTCATAATATTTTTAAGTTAAAAAAAGAAAATACCAATTTTAGATGAAGGCATAAATGACATCACATCCAAAATTGGTGAGGTTAGGTCCTGTACGTGAGTGAGAAATTTTTGTACAAAATGTTTGTCACATGTGTCTCAAAATTACCTATTATCGATAATGGACTTTTTGTAGCAAGTAACTTGATTTACACTGGAAATCCAGCATATTATCCACTAATAACTAATTTTAAAACAAAGCAACAATTTAAAAGTACCAATACTTATTTATCTGATGCTTTTATTTTGAGGTAAGCCTATTAATTTGGGGGAGTGGGATAAATAACCCTAGCCTTATTATTATTACAACCAATAGTATAAATATATATATATATATCAATCCTATAAGCCTAGTATAGTATATAGTATAGGCCTAGTACCATCCCAACTTATTATTGCAGGACCTATTAACTATTATAGGTAGTGATATTTTACTCTATATGTAATCATATTTTATTATTTAATAAAAATTATGATTCTTAAATTTTAAAATAAAAATGTTTTTAAAAAATATTCACTTATCTTTGATATTGAAATATCTTGTCTTCACTCACAAATCACAATATTCCACAAGAAACTATATATTCTATGGGCTCTATACAGCTGTAGTATTTTTATATTTTTAAAAATGTTTTGAAATGTTCAACAAAGTGCTTAGGCCCTATCCTAAAACAATCCTGTTAAGGTTACAGTATTTTGAGGGTTCAGAACTTCCTTGCCCACCCCTTCAGACAATATTTGTGAAGGGGATCAAAAGGGGATATTAGTGACCAGTGAAAGTTGAGAAATATTTTTATATTTTATTTAAGTTTCCTTGTTTGACTGATTTTTCTTTGATGGAACTTCAGGATTATATAAAAATAAATATAAAATCTGGTTCTATTTCCTGTATTCATCTGACATGGTTCACAAACCTTAAATCTTATTTGATTTTAATGTCCTGATACCTGTCATTGTTAAACTTATTACAGCCAAACAAAAAAATCATTAAAATCATTTTTAAAAATCAACTTAATGTTACATAGAAAAAGTCATGTATACAATTCTTCAACTCTGCTTACAGTGCCATGTCCCCCAGGCTCACATTTGAATGAATCTGAAGACAGGTGTGTCCTGTGCGCTGAAGGCTACTATCAGAACTCCTCCAGTACTACCCAGTGTTTGCTGTGTCCTCAAGGGGCTACACTAGAGCTGGGGGCTTTGACTGAGGCTGAATGTAATTTCATTAATTTGTTTGTATATAGTCTATAATTCAATATATTTTATTATACAATTAAATTTAAAAATCCAAAATGAAAGCTGGTTTAAAAATAATAATTAATTTTTAATAATATTTTTGTTATAAAATTATTCAAAAGATAACTTAACATTTATTAAATTCCTTCTTGCAGGTGTTGTCTTCCCTGCCATCAATGAAATGAGCAAGTTTCTCATCATAACGGCCTGCTCGTTTGCCCTGATCTTCTTGTGTATGGTATTTTTCATGTATCTACAATACCATCACCAACACAAACACCCTAAAGAAGAAAAGAAAATTGCTAACAACAGCAGATATTTGACAGCCAATGTTTATGCTCACCCACCAGTTCCTAATGAGAAATGTCCTGACTACATAAGGACATCGACCCGGGACTTCATGATGGGCACACATGATTATGAGGATATTGATGGTCAGCACAAGTCAACGTTTGAAACATTCTCTCGTCGACCCCCCGGCTGTGGAGATTCCCTGAGCTCATTCAAGGCTCACACGGACATGACATTCCTACAGACGGGATCTCCCAACTCAAGCTCTCTGAGAACCTCTGATGAGACTCTCATGCCGAACTCACCCAGAGAAAGCGCCAAGTCCTTCAACCTTTATGGTGATGGTGGGTTCCAGTACACGATATCCCCTAATGGAACAATGGGCTCATTTAAAGGATCTCCCCCCTCCTCTCCCTACAGAAGTCTCCGCCTCACTGCAAATGGTCCTATACCTAGAGGTCCTTCAGAGTCCCCAACACCAAACACTCCAACCCTGAACTCACTTCTAGGAGATGAGAGTCCCTACACTAGCAGGCTCATCCGTGATCGTCTGATTGACCCAGATAGTCCTTACAGAATTATCTCCCATGACCGTAGAACTGGAAGTGAGAGTCCATACAAGATGACGAGAAGACCTGACTCGGACAGCCCGCATCACATGTTATCTCTGGACACAAGTAATCACAATGAGAGCCCATATCGAATGGTAGGCAAGGAGTCTCCCTACAGGAGCCCTGCTCTACAACGTGAATTGGCTCAGTCTTTTAACAGGGCCGCTTCCGACATGGGCATGAGAAGTCCGTCCTACCCACAAGTCATTGATGCGCAGAGCTCACTTCGGTCCATGCCGGAGACATCCAGCATACATCGGCAGATGACACTGCCTAGAGATGAAGGCAGTGCCTTCATGCCCGTGGGAGATTTCCTGTACAAAAGACCGCCGTCTCCTTTATCTCCTCCCATATCAAGTAGAAAATCCAATGACTCACTGCAGAGATCTCCTTCAACACCTAGGGCTTCACCGGGCATGTCACGGAAACGTATTGAGAACCCTTACAGAACCCCTCCCATGAACCAGCGCAGGAAGGGCAAAAATGAGTTTGGAATATACGAGTATGAGTATGATTGAGGACAACTAACAATCATATAATATTCAGGTGGACCATTCTTCAGCCTATGGCTATTATGAGCTTTACCTAATGAGTCACCAGTGGTGTGTCCTTAAGTCATCAGAGCTTTACAAAAATATCTATACTTAAGTAGTAATTACTTCTGCAACAGTCAATAGCAATCTCTTAATTCTAGCGTCCAGTTTCAAGTTACCCGGCTTCTGAAAATCTAAAATACTGTAAGACTTTTCTCATATCACAATGTATTTTAATGTTATTCAGATTTGGTTTAAATATTATATTACAAAATGGGCAATTTAGTTATAAAATATAAAATATAAAATGCACTGTATGAATTTATAATTTTAAGAATCTCACGCTTCCATTTTGAATTATCTGAGAGTAGTTAGTAGCTAATGATAATTATTCTATCTCTATGAACTTGTTAAGAAAGTTGCAAACAAAAAAGAATTGAGCTGTAAAAATTACATCATTATGTGAGAAAGTTGACAGAGCATTTCCATATCAGAAGTCCTTTTTATTTTACAATTATAAAATACAACAAATAATAATTTAAAGACCTTTTTACACAATTAACTGCCAACTGGTATTTATTGTCCCTTAAGCTAGGGCCACCTAGTGGGGATAACTCACATCTGCTAGTTGATGCAACTGTGTTTAATAGTGCATCTCCTTGATGCCCAATAATCTTAATTAAATTCAATGTATCTTCAAAATTAGGAATGGACTAAATAAATATTCTTTTTCTGTGGCATGGAATCTGCAGTAGAATGTGTCTAATCGTAGACATTGCTACACTGGGGTGAGTATGGCAGAATATTCTTCCAGTTGCAGAGGGGTCTGCTGGTACATTTGATTTACTATTCTTATTATTCTGTGAAACCAAACTGTTACACAGTAGTTGGACACTGAGCGAGTGGGTGGCACCAGACGTTTTGTGGAATGAAAAATATAGAAATGAGGGATGAAAACTAGAGCAATTGCCATATATGGTATGTTTGTACATACTGGTCATTGGCTGGTTGAGGTAATAATAGTACTGGTCATTGGCTGCTTTATGTTAGAATGGTGACAGTTTTTTTATGGTAAAGATATTAAATTTAATATGCAGTGCTTATTTGTTTATCATCCTATGCCTATAGTTAGACTCATCTTATGGTTAGACTCATCTTATGGGTAGACTCATCCTATGAAGGAAACTGTAGGAAATAAACTACATCAAATGAAATAAAGTAACAATTTTATGCCAAAACATAAAAACAAAAATGAATTTTAAAAAAAAGCTTTTTTATTTCAAGGGCATGGAAGTGTAAAGAATTTCTTACTAGTCTATCAATGGATAGTAACATTAAATATCTGCAACTAAAGTCATTGGCTGGTCATTGGCTGGTTGAGGTAATAATAGTACTGGTCATTGGCTGCTTTATGTTAGAATGGTGACAGTTTTTTTATGGTAAAGATATTAAATTTAATATGCAGTGCTTATTTGTTTATCATCCTATGCCTATAGTTAGACTCATCTTATGGTTAGACTCATCTTATGGGTAGACTCATCCTATGAAGGAAACTGTAGGAAATAAACTACATCAAATGAAATAAAGTAACAATTTTATGCCAAAACATAAAAACAAAAATGAATTTTAAAAAAAAGCTTTTTTATTTCAAGGGCATGGAAGTGTAAAGAATTTCTTACTAGTCTATCAATGGATAGTAACATTAAATATCTGCAACTAAAGTAAATCACTTTGTAACCAGCCAGGGAAGATAATTCCCTTTACTCTGGGCATATCATCATCTGTGGTAAACTATGATCTTCTTTTAATCAGTCCAAATTTAACCTATCCCACTTTAACCTGCTCCACTTGGATCTGCCCCTATATGTGGTGAAAAATTATTCATTCCATTAAAAAAATTATAGTAAAAAATGGAAACATACAACCTATATATTGGTTGAGGGATAAACTCATTTTTGTTTGCCATTATCTTATGCTAGTGGTTCTCAAAAAGTGTGCCACAACATACAAGTGTGTCATGGAAGTTTCACAGATGAGTCACAAAATTTGTAAACATGCTATAGATAGTGTTGTCTCAAAGCAATGACTGCTTCCATTGACGAGTCACATCACATATTAATCTTATAGTCAGACAATTTGTGGCTAAATTTACTTTAAGAGTAGAATATCCATTATCGAACACATTTGTTAAAAACCAATTCTGCTTTCCTAAATGTGGATATATTGATGTGTACATAAAGACGTAAAGAATTTTTTTTAAAATTCCCAAGTGTAAAAAATGTACCTAAAACTGATGTAATTAATCATTTTGATGTTTTTGGATTGATATATTTTTAATGGCAATGGTGTTCGTATAGAGACAACTTTTTTCCTTAACTAAAATAATAAAATTAGAGGGGAAGAATTATATGATTTCAAATCTTATACTAGAAGTGAGGCATGCATATTATAAACAGTTAGGTAGTATAACCAAGCTATGAATAGACAGATAGTATAACCAAGATTGTTTGGTAGTTCATTTGAGATATCACTATAATTTTTATGGGAAAATGTTGGATTATTTTTATTTCATTATAAATTTGGCTCAAATCATCTGTCATCCTAAAGTTTTCAATTATCAGTAATATCAGTGTAATTACCAATTTTTGGTTTCATTTTAAAATAACGTGTCATGGATAATCTCAAATCAATTATACTAATTAGTTTATTTTTAAACCAATATTTTATTATAATGTCTTTTAAAATGGATTTTTACTTTGCTTTTGTTTAGTTAATAACTCCCAAGCCCTTTCATAGGGTTTTTTAAATTAACAATTGTTTAATTCGCCCCAAATAAATGTGCAAAACAAAAGATTTATTTAATTTACATTTAGTTTTACATTTACACAAAATGGGATGGTTTAAAATTATCCAGTTTTTTGTTGCCATGGGTCAGTGACAACAATAGTTTTTAAAATGTTGAGTTTCTTGCATTATTAATACTAATACTCATTGCTGAAATAAGGTTTATATGAATTTTTAGATCAGAATTTAATATTGTGTGAACAGGCACAGAATCAGTGGGGACTATCAATGACAGGCCCAATAATTTTTTGACATGAATGTGTTGAAGTTGTACAAATTATCACATAATGTTGTTTTTGTATCTGTGCCAAGTAAAATAATTTGATTGAATGTATAAAAAAAATTGCTATACCAAAATTAGCTTTGACATGTCTCTAGTTAATCAGTACTTAGTGTAGTAAGTAAGAATGTGTGTGACATCCATATTTTATGAAATACTCAAAAGAGAACTCTAAGATTAGTGTTCCAATACATTCTTCCATGACAGACTGCTGTACAAAAATAATTTACCATTTACACTATCTTACATTGAGAAGAGTTTTTAACCTTATTGAGATGCAAATTTTTTTAGTAGCTATTATAAAATATCTTTCTTAAAATTTTAAACACACCCGGTGTATTAAAAAAATTAATAAATAAAAAGCAGCAACACATTTCTGGAGCTCTCTTTTTTTTTTAAATTATAAAAAACCATTCAAATAAACAAAACAATTTTAACATTTTCTAAAATCTCTCCTGGTCGTGGAAGACTGCTGATCTAAATCTTGGAATTATTATCCATTTAGCCCTTATGACATTGAATTTCTTGGAGAAATATTATTCTAACTTGTTTGTGTAATGGTGTACATTTAGTTTTATTGTGCATGTAATATTCACTAAAAATGGCCGTAATTTATTTTCTGTACATAATTGAAAAATGTTTTTATGTCATATAAATTACCTTTATATTGGAACATTTTTAAAAAAAATGATGAGTAAGCTAATGTCATAAACATGTAGTTTCTGTACTGTAATGTCTTTGTCTAATTTAGAACTGTATTCAAAATATTTAACTGTATTAGATTAGAAAAGGGGAGAAAAGAATATTCTGAAGGACATCATGAAGTCAAATTGGCTGTAAGAAAAAAACAAAAACAACTAAAGCAACAGACATAAAAAATATATCCTTGTACAAAATTTCTGGGATCATAGAATTAACTTCATATATTTTCCAGGCCCTAATCTTAAATAAGGATGTAAACTGATGAATGTGCACACGAATTTCAAATGTATTAGCTTTAACTGAACTGTATGCCAAAGAACCATAATAGGGCACTCTGCAAAAAAGTTATTCATAATATAAAAATACGCCTTTAAACCATTGCAATTTTAGTTGCCTTACTTCATGTAGCACAATTAGTTAAATATAATCAAGTCTCTATGCAAAATTTTTCATGCCACTTTGACAAATCACTAAATATTTTTTAGTTTGTAGACTACAATAAACCATTGAAATAAAAATTTCAACATATGTCCAGAAATTGAATATGTCCAGAAATAATTGCATCAGGCTGGAGAAACTTGCAGACTACTACTATAATCAAGGTCAGAATTTAAAAAAAATGCATTGCTTCATTATTTTTCCTCTTTAAGGTTAGCCTTGACTCTTGAATAAGAAAAACCTCGTATATAAAATTGAGGCTACTCTTTTAAATGGATAGCTTTTTTTGTGTAACCAGTGAAATTTCTTCATAGTGAGAAGGTAAAGTTACTTCATTGATTTTTATTTTAAAAAACTAGCTCCTTATTCTACCTCTGTAATTATGTAGAACATATTGATTTTATTTTGAGATATGAATCTTAAAGTAAATACCCACCTTGTTCTATCAGGGTGTTGTTTTCATGATGAGATAAAAACAAAAATATCATAATATTAATGTTCTTTCCTGTATATTGTATTTTTGTGTATCTCTAGATAACAGCATTCAGACAGACTTAACCTCATTCATTGATCACCCCTCGAGTCTGTTTTACAACAAAACCATTTTATTCTGAAATCCCTTTCAGTGTTGCTAAAAATGCTCTATTATTAACCTATGACAATAGTTGATTGTTTGAGTAATGTAACGATGGACCCTGGTTTCCACTGTTTTATTTCGGTTGGTGGTGCTTTTAGTAATTTTTACTTTTTGTTTAAACATTTTTAATACTTGACATTGCTTTGCTCAATGTCATAAAAAAATAACATGGCAAAATAAAATGAAATAAAGATGATTTCATTTTCTGAAGACTTCATCAGACTTGTTATTCAAAGATATTCTGTAAAGGTCAACTTAGTTTTAATGAGTTCATCATTTTTAATTTGAAATTTAAGCACAGTGTGTAAAGCCAGATAAAATTTTTTAAAATTCAACTTATTCTGACATAGATTACCTGGAATAAAAAGTTTGTGAGAAATCTAAGAATCTTTCATGACTCTGCTTAGCTAGACTACCATACATTCAACTTATTCTGACATAGATTACCTGGAATAAAAAGTTTGTGAGAAATCTAAGAATCTTTCATGACTCTGCTTAGCTAGACTACCATAGAACACCTACCTAAAAATGGGAGACTAGATTCTTGAAGAGTATATAAATATTGATATATATATATATACATATATATATATATATATATATACATATATATATATATATATATACACATATATATACACATATATATACATATATATATATATATATATATACACATATATATATACATATATATATATATATATATATATATATATATATATATATATATATATATATATATATATATGCATTATATCAAGTAGTGATTATTATTACTTGACTTTTATGAGAGTCTAAAAACTGCTAGTAACCCTAATAATAGCTTTGAACTAATCACAGAGCAGATCTAGATGCCACATTTTAGGACATGACAGAGGGAAATGTGCTGTCTTTAAAAGAAGAAATGAATACATTCCTTGGTATGGTGTGTATCAAAATGTGGTCCTGGCCCAGCATATGAACTTGTGGCCTTGAAAACAATTGTCTCCACCTTATCATGAATAAACAGTCATAGTAGGTCAGTGTTTATTGATTGTTAATAATTCTCCCATAACACAGTATTCATTCTCAAATGGATTTCATGTCATGACCAGCCTGCTCCAGCCTCTGAATAGAAGCATGTTTTAGAATATTTTTACAGAAAATTAACTTAAGAATTTCAATGATGAGAAAGAAATGTCACATCTTTAATTAATCCTTTAATATTAAAACACTAATGGATAAAATGAAAAATGTACATTTTTGTATCACTTTGATAAATAAATTTACAAGAAAAGTCAGTAGTAATTTGTTAAACTTTAATATGAAAAATGCATATAAAAAGCACAGACAGCCATTGTAAACCAGGGAACACTTACTTATAACAATAAAGAGTTATAGCTTGAGGTTAGGGAGTGTTCATGGAAGAATATTTACGATAGGATGAGAAAAAGAAATTTAATAAAAAATTTAAAAAAAGACAACGCCAAAAAATTATAATGTGATGTATAAAAAATTAAAATGCTCTTTTGGAGGTAAAACCTCTTGTAATATAAAAAAACAAACAATTAAAAGCATTATCAAACTTTGTTTTAAACAAAAATTTTAAATAGTTTTGTAATGGATTTTTGTACAGACAATTAAAATCAAGTTTAAAAAAAAAACATAAACTAAAAATGATTACAAATATAACATGAACACTAGGACATTTAATGAAAACATTTTAAATTTTTAAACAACTTAAAATAAAATTATCAACATCACAGCTCAGGTATAAAAAAAAAAAGTGTACAATTTTCACTGCATGTGATTTTATGTTAGGCAAAGCAATAAAACCATTTGTATAATTAAAAAATAACCGTTAACATCCATACATTAATTCTGAGCAAACATGTATTTTCCTGAACACAAAACGGCAACATTAAACAATTTTTAACATTTAATATCCAGGAATATTGAGAATTATTATGTTACTATTAAATGGACCACTAAACTGATCAAGTAAAAGGTGGCCAATAATAACCTGACACTAGTTCCTGCATGTTGCACACTTTGATCAAATAGCTAGAAATAATATTGGAAACACAAGTTACCAAAACTCTCATTTGATATAACATAAAAACATAATTCAATACAGATTAATGAACTCACAGGTTCCCTTTGGTAAATAGTGCAAAAAAATCAATGAAGCCTCAGTAAGAGGCAGCAGCTGTGGGATATTACACAATGTATACATTTAAATATTATAAATAGACTAAGCTGTAAAAAAATGAGAAGTAGCTAGGAATTTCAAAAAATTATGTTAAAAAGAAAGTAAAAATTACTTCATCACTGAATATATAAATGTAATACAGTAAACAGTGTCACATTCCCTGTACACAAATGGAAGTAAGAAAAAAACTAAAGGCAAGTCAATCTCAGTGAGTCTTAGATTATAACATGGTACAATGATTAAAAGTTCACATACATTGTAATTCTCATTGATTGTCAATTTAAGACTAATCCCTAAATATAATTATGTAACACTAAAATTATTTTTACAACAAATAAATTTCTGATTTCAAACAGTATAAGTGTTGCTTTGTATTGGCTTTATTTGGCAAGTAATTATTATTTGATTTTATCTTGACATTCAGTTGAGTAAGTTGCCACATATAGTTGAATAACTGGCCATATGCAGTTGAATAAGATGCCACATATAGTTGAATAACTGGCCACATGGCGTTAAATAAATTGCCACATATAGTTGAATAACTATTCCTATAGTTGAATTACTTGCCACATAAAAGTTGAATAAACTGGCCACATATAAATGAATAACTTGACAATATTCATGGCTCACAATTGGCTGAGATGGTAATTCTTTCATTTTCTATTAAATCATTAGTTTTAAAGTCAGCAATGTTTACAGTAACATTCATAAACAACTCATTCATCTGGCATTGTCCTCGATTATGGACAAGCTAGTGGACCTGGAACCTGTAGCTCAATGAAGACAGTTATTCTTAGAGAGGAAGTGAGCCCAGAGTAAAATAAAAAACTCAAACATCAAATTTATAACACAGCCTGCCAAAATGGCATGGATTTTTAAAAAAATACCACCACATTTAGATCATAGCTGCCAACCTGGCATGGATTTTAAAAATTGTCAGCTTTTCTGACACAAATACAAATAAATAAATGCATTAAAAAAAAAAAAGTCATCTAAGTAAAAGCTGCACAAAGCGTGGTCTGCATATCACCTACCCGAGGACACAGTTGACAACATCAAGTACTAATTAAACTATAAACTATGTATGTAGAAATACAACATCAAGTACTAATTAAACTATAAACTATGTATGTAGAAATACAACATCAAGTACTAATTAAACTATAAACTATGTATGTAGAAATACAACATCAAGTACTAATTAAACTATAAACTATGTATGTAGAAATAAAACATCAAGTACTAATTAAACTATAAACTATGTATGTAGAAATACAACATCAAGTACTAATTAAACTATAAGCTATAGATGTAGGAGCACAACATCTAAGTTAAAGAGTTATTGACAGCACCTATTCCTCCAGCACCTGTTTTGAAATGTTGTTTGACAGTGATCAACACCTCTACAGGTCAGTTGAACATGTACTGCCCAAACAAAAAGATCATCCTTTGACTTATGGTTTCTACCAGCTCAAGGGACAAGTAGCTTGAGGGGTTATAATCTTATGGCTGGTGAGGGGGAAGAGCAACCGGTGCCCCTGGCTGAGGTTGGAAAGGTGCAACCGGTGCCCCTGGCTGAGGTTGGAAAGGTGCAACCGGTGCCCCTGGCTGAGGTTGGAAAGGTGCAACCGGTGCCCCTGGCTGAGGTTGGATAGGTGCAACCGATGCCCCTGGCTGAGGTTGGATAGGTGCAACCGGCTGAGGTTGTGGTTTGTTGGGTGGAAGATTTCTCATCAGGAAGTATCCAGTGACCTGCTTGGGGATTTCGGCCAATACATGTCTAGCAAGCTCCGCAGGATGGCTCTGTGAGCAAGAGGATGATACAGATGTTACTCTTTTAGAAACTATTCAAGTTTGAAAAGGAATATTTTACTCTAAATTCTTGATGGGTTTGAACTTCAATAACAATTTTTTTTTTTAAAATAATAAAATGCACAAAACTGAATGCTTTATTTTCCAAACAAAATCATTTCAAGTATATTAAATGTTTTTGGTACCAGAAATAGCTAAACATATACTAAACTTTATTAACATTGAACTAAAGTCTACATAACTGAAGAGAATGTGGTTTAAACTTCAGACTATTTAAAATCACCAAGATAAGATAAGATAAGATTCTTTTATTGATCCAAATAAATGGAAATGTCTTTTGAATACATTAAACATATCCATTTCCAGCACAGATAACTTTTCTTACCATGACAATATTTTAAAATATTATGACTTAAACATGAGACTTTGAATGTGTTTTTCAAGGGCAAAAAAAAACAAAAAACAACCAGCCATCATATTATACCACAGAACTTCACTCCCTTAGTGACAATGTGATTATTTAGACTTTGCAAATTCAAAGTTGGCCACAAATGATGTCATCTTAGTTAACTGTGATGAAGTGGGTGGGATGTGATCTTAGGTAACTGGGATGAAGTGGGTGGGATGTGATCTTAGGTAACTGGGTTGAAGTGGGTGGGATGTTATCTTAGGTAACTGTGATGAAGTGGGTGGGATGTTATCTTAGGTAACTGTGATGAAGTGGGTGGGGTGTGATCTTAGGTAACTGTGATGAAGTGGGTGGGATGTGATCTTAGGTAACTGTGATGAAGTGGGTGGGATGTTATCTTGGGTAACTGAATGGGTTGGGGGGGAGGGGAATGTATCCTCCAAAATTAGTTTTAGCTTCACTAACACATTTTGCTTTAAACAGTTAAGCCCCTTGGTTAGTTGGTAAGTTACCTGCTTGAAATCTCTGAAAGGAACAAACTGCACGATGTCCCGTTTAACTGGGATTCCCCTGGTTGACTTGAGCACCCCATCATCGCCATCAAGTCTGTTCATGTCTGCAAAGTCAGCCTGCCCCACCCCTACAATGATGAGGGACATGGGCAGACCAGAGGCGTTGACTATGGCATTACGAACATCGTCCATGTCAGATAGGACCCCGTCTGTGAGCAGCATCAGTATGTAGTATGTCTGTTATAAAAATAAAATGGGCATTCAGTCAGCATTGTAAAATGTTAGCTTCACATAAAGTATTAGGTTGTCAATATCTGAGTTTATTTTATAAGACATTGCAAAGACACCAGGAAGTCTCTAGTGAGATATTAAAACATATGGGTTATATGGATTTTAACGCTATGATCTCAAATATGAAGTCAGAATCTGGCTAGCACGTCTAGATTTTAAGTTATGCATGAATTTAAGAAATATATATCTATAATGTTAATATATATACAAAATGTATAACCCGCCAAACATTGGCGACAGCAAAGGGTGAACTTCCCATCTAGTAAAGTTACTTGACAAAACATGAACTCACGTAACGCACATTTAAGAATCCCAATTTTCGCTACACCCCTTCCCCCATGATAGGTCACTGCACACTTTTTAGTTCACGCCCATGAACTATATTAAATATTCTGATGTCCCAACCACTTTTAAACCAAATATTTTTTTGACACCATACTTAAATTGAGACGATTTCATTTTCTGAAAAGAAAATAATACACACCAAACACAGTTGCAGTATTTAAAAAAAAAAAATCATTTTGCGCAGTTATCGGGAATTATATTTTGCGCGCTCTTGAACTCTGTAACAGACCGAGTTGGCTTTGAATTTTTCACATGACTTTAATATTCATTCCTATGACATGATGGCGTAGTAATTTTATCAGAATGATGTGAATCACGAGAAAGCGGGAAATAGCTTCTAGAGCGGGTATAGAATACACGTTAAGAGAGTAAGGAGAGGGTGCACGAGTTTTCCTTGAATGTGGCAGACGTGTTGAATTATTTCTCGTATGGATTATTAAAGTATCGTCTGATGGAATATTGTGGAACATGTGTGTATTTATTCATTGCATCCTATCACTGTCACAATGATATACTCATAGCAAGATTTATTATTCAACTCATCTATTTTTATGTGATAAAGTACTGTATAAATTACTCATTGGACGTTATTACTTCTTGAGTGAGAGAGAGGAACAGCTCCAGATGAATTCATTCATTATCCAATTAATAGTGGCAAACCATCTATTACAATGAGCTTAAGTATTAGTTTACAATGTTACACAAAGGATTGTTATATCAATAACATAGCATTGTTACATTGGTGTCAGAAGTGGGCTTTGAACCCACACCCACAATGTTATTATTGAACCATACTTTCTTTCAAACATTTAGATTTGTAATATACTCTCAATACCCAATTCCCTGATTAGGAAGCAGTCTATTAGGAAGCAGTCCACTAGTCATACCAGTAGCGTAATATGTATAAGAGATATTATTATTATAAACTAGAAGATGATATCTGTTTCTGTACTGATGTGAACAGTCTCTTGCTGAAATGAAGTTCCAGATACGTTACTGTTCATCAAGATGTCTGCAACTTGGAAACAAATTATCAAGGCCACTGCCATGCCAACATGAGGGCTGACTGTTGCTAGTTTCAGCAGCAGGGAACAGCGCCACTCACAAGTGCATGATGATGTGCCTAAAGCGATTTTGAACTCACATAGGTTAAGCTGAAGACAAAAATTTTGAAAGGTATGCTTTCATCTGTGTAAGATACATATATTTATATTAGATTTAAAAACTATCATAATTTCTTTCTTTTTTTTTAAAATGTGACTGTACCACTTATGTTTGTTAAATTGTACCACGCCATATAAAACCACTTCATGTTTTTTTATTAATACTTTCTAAGGACCTTTTTTTATTTTTTGTTTGTTTTAATAAAACAAACATAAATTAAATATTGGAAATGGGTTGAAATTTTAATTTAAATTTCAAGTTATAAAATAATAGCACTTTGTTGTGTTGTAATGACTACTCCGACTATTGTTCCACAGTTCTAAGCAAGTACTAGCTCTGTAATTTTTTCGCATGACGCACAATTTAATGTTCACATGAAGCTGCATAACTTAATCCTGATGTCCGACAAAAAATCTGACTTCAGATTTGGAATGACAGCGCTCACTTTAGTATAAATCAAACAATAAATGCCCCAGTAGCAGACAAAAATGTATTTACTTTTGTCCAGTGTAATATAATACAAGACATTTCATTGTTGTTTAAATAGAATTTATTCACCAGTTAAGGTACTATTATTAGTAACATAGTGAAAGTTTACAAGAGCATAAATAGAACTATGAGAAGTACAACCACGCTCTTGAAATTAACAGGGTTCCTATCACACAGAATCAAGTACACCCTTGAGAAACTGTGCTACTTTACAACTGTTTTAATGATGTTCATGTACATTTTATTTACAACACTTTTTTGTTTAACAATAACTGACCACTGGTGTACAACAAGTGACAACACTTGTACAACAATAACTGACACTGTTGTATAACAATAAAAACACTTGTACAACAATAACAGAATTAGTATATTTACCGCAGCCCCTCGCCCCTGCAGTTCTCCATTTTGAGCATCAGCAGCGAACCTGGCAACATGGTTTATGATAGGAGCCACATTCGTCGGTCCGTAAAGCTCAATTTGTTGAATACAGTTGACGTAAGCATTGAGGACTCCCTGAATACCTGAAGTGGATGGTGTGATATGAAATATTTAACTGTTAAATCCTGTTCAACTATAAAACCTAACTATAAATTGATGACACAAAAAAAACAAAAAAACACATAATTTCCATTCACCTGCACAAAATGGATTTTGTGGATTGAAGTTCAGGGGAAATTCAAAGGACACAGTCATGCTTGGTGGTATGAGGGCTCCGAACCCCAGGGCTGGGAACATTTTGTCCCTGAAATGTCAAGTAAATATAAGTTACTCAAAATATCTTAAGTGTTGATCTTTTAATACCTGGTATCGAAAATATGGTAAAGAGAATGATTTTTTTTCTTTTTTAAAACATTTCACACTATAATGTTGAGTTTCCATGAGAGGAACAACTACGAAGAGTTAAGCTCAAGATCCTAAATTCTAGAGTAGTGGTTCTCAACCTTCCTAATGACACGACCCTTAACACTGCTCCTCATGTTGTGGTGACCCCCAACCATAAAAAAATTTTCCTTGCTACTTCATAAATATGTTTTTCCGATGATCTTAGGCGACGCCTATGTAAGGGGTCGCGACCGACAGGTTGAAAACCACTGTTCTAGAGGCACCTAATTGACGTAAATGAATTTTCATTTTTTAGTCCCTGTGTGTTTGGCCATTGTCTCTATCCCATCATCACAATAAGGATGAGGACAAGACACCCAGGGTGTTGGTTTAATTAATTTTTTAATGAAGATTTACTAGAAATTATCATAAATAATACTTTTATGCCAGTGAGTAGTTTGTCTCTCAATATGATCGTTAGTAGCATTACCCATTAATAGAAATAAGATTTTACGGCTTTGGTGATAGCAATGAAACTAAGTTGGTCATTCATGGACAGGTCACACTTCAATCTCACCAGTCGTAGTCCTGAAGTACACTGCCCACAGCGTTGATGGCCTGCATGTACTCGTTGGGATGTTGGTAGTCAATGAAATGAAGGGAGCCGCGTTCTTTGGGTTTTCCATTTGAGGCGGTGAAGTCAACACCTATCTGAAGTTTTTGTAAATCTTCATTACTTGTGGTTTTTTTTTCCTTCTTCATTAAATGAGAAAACAGCCCTATCATTAATTAATAATTTTTTTTTGGTTAAGCTCTCAAAGCTGAATAGAGCATTTTAAAATGGACAGTGGCTCAGCAGGAATTTAATTACCCATTTGATATTGTTTATACATCAACCTTCAGCTCATTTTTGATTATCATAAGTTAGGAGGAAGGGTAATAATTTTCAACATCTACTGTATGTTGCAAGCCATTTTAAAATAAATATTGAAACAAAATTTTTTTTTTAAAAAAAATATTAAAAAAAAATTTTTTTTTTTAAATTTTATTAAATCTTTTAAAAAAACCTATCCCCCCCCCCCCCCAAATAATCAGTAACTTCTTCACATCTCTCTCCTAACTTGTAAAATTTTGTTACTGTTATTTTACTGTAAGAAATAACTTAGTCATACAAACATTTGCCAGCAATCGTCAAAATAATTACTTAATCTATTTTTTTTTTACAAATATTTTTTTTTTAAAATTGTTCCTTTATTGGCTTAAAACATTTAGAACATGACGTCATATAAAAAATGAAAAGGGAGTTCAGCATGAGCAACATTAAATTGTATTATTTCAACCAGCTGAGTCAGTTCAATGTGAGATTACCATTGTTGAGTCAGTTCAATAACAGATTATCACTGTCGAGTCAGCTCAGTATGAGTTTATCATTGTCAAGTCAGTTCAATTTGAGTTTATCGTTGTCGGGTCGGTTCAATATGAGTTTATTATTTTTAAGTCAGTTCAAAACAAGATTATCATTGTGGATCTCATCCTAATAATCATTTCTCATACTTACAGTCAAATTGATCTGTAGACCGCCAAAGATGTAATCCAGAAAGGTGTGCTCCTTTTGAATCTACAGAAACAACAATAATTTAAAAACTGGGCCTAAGAAATGTTCCCTGAAAGATCCTTCAATGAAGAAATTTTCTTCAAAACTTTCACAACTTAGTGCCCATACAGAGATTTCTTAACCGTGCACCGCTGCACCTTGGAAAGAGGTGCTACACGTATTAACAAATTTTCTTTATGTAATATTACGCTACATCTAGCGGACTTGGTGCAAACCAGTGATAACTTTTTTGTGGGGTCTTAGTGTTGAATTAGTTTTAGAACTTTGTATCAACAGAATATCGTGATTCAAGTAGTTATTGAAAGACCTTTCTCATTTGTGGTATTTATAAATTTATCTGATTTTCTAAACAGTGAGAATGCAAATTGTTTAAAAAAAATTATTATTTTAGTATACTTGTTAGATTTTGACATGGGGTGCCTTTAGAAAATCTGTATGCAATAAGGCCGCTGTGACTCAAAAAGGTTTGGGAACCTCAGCATTGGTAATAGAATAAGAATTTTAAAAAAATAAGTATTTGATCTTAAGTAAAGAAAGGCATATAATAACAGCATACATGTATAGCTTTTATACACTCTAAGACTATATTATTCCTACCTGAAAAGAATTGAGAATGACAGTGCCTGAATCTTTGTAGCCTTTCTTCTTGGCCTTCTTACCCTCATTTACACATGGCCAAGTTACCTGCTTGGTATGTTAAGGAACAAGAAATTGGTTATACACATATGGGAAGTAAAACTAACACTTTATAACATTATACACAATGTTGTAGCAACAGGCCTTTCTGTGTGAACAATATATCAATGAACAAACAAGAATATATAATTAGAAACTTTCCTTACATGGGGTTCAAGCCCAACTCAGTGGAGATTGAGAGTGAAGACAATCGATACAATGGTAAAAACAGTATTAGGATTATCACATAAATACAAGACTTATCTCAGAGGTGGTGAAGGACATGCTTAATGAAAGTCATCAGAGAAGATTGCAGGGGACAGCAAGGCATAGAAAGATATTGTTGCCGTCCCATGCTCTTCCGGGAGTTGGAAAAAGGCAAAGAAGAAGATGAAGATGTTTGCGACGGCAAGTTAAATATTTTATGCAGTCACCTGGCCAGTACTTGCTTTGCTCAGCTCTTCAAGTGTGGAGGTGAATCCACCGATAAGATCGTGAGACCCATCACCATCCCAGTCAAACACATCAAACTGAAAGCCACAAGTTTAGAGACTTTCAGTCACACATGAACTTACATAAAAAAAATATTGAAATAATTTTAAAGCCTGACAGTGATGTTCAAAGTAACTTATAAAGATTCAATTTCATGTGCTTAAAGCAAACACACAAAAAAAAATAACATGTAATGCAAGTGTTCTGATTTTTTATTAATACCATAAAATTATAAAAATTCAGCTTCACTCTCAAAACCTTTTCTGTGTACATCATTGAGATGATAATATGGCAGGATAATGTTGATGGAATTTTCCTTTGAGCTTAACATTTAATTTCAGAAAGATGTTTCTAAGAAATGTTGATAAGATAATATGGTGGTGTGTTGCCAATTAACTAAGGCAGGTCTTGTTTATAAGAGAATATTATAGTGTGTTGCTGATTAATAAGTAATAAAGGGAGGTATTGTTTATAAGAGAATATTATAGTGTGTTGCTGATTAATAAAGGGAGGTCTGGTTTATAAGAGAATATTATAGTGTGTTGCTGATTAACAAAGGTAGGTCTTGTTTATAAGATAATATCATTGTGTGCTGCTGATTAATAAAAGCAGGTCTTGATTATAAGAGAATATCATAGTGTGTTTCTGATTAATGAAGGCAGGTCTTTTTAAAAAGAGAATATTATAGTGTGTTGCTGATTAATAAAGGTATGTCTTGTTTATAAGAGAATCTTATAGTGTGTTGCTGATTGATGAAGATAGCTCTATTTAACATTACCCTAATGGGTCTGGTTCTGTCCCCACCACAGAGCAACTGAAGTCGCACACTAAAGGGGCGCCACTCAGGGTTTAGATTATTTTTCACAACCTCTGTACGATGGACAACCTGCCAGGTTCCGTCAGGTAGACCACGGGAAACTTCCAAAAATGGGTCAGATTTTCCCATGAAGTCCTATAAAGATAACCATGTGTTAACGGTAGAGTCCAGTCAGAATCTAAATTTCTTAGATTTAAATTCTATTGCGTTTATTTGCTTGCTTGCTATGTGTTTGGAATATTTTATTTACAAAATTTAAATTCTGGGAATGGTCAATCTTTAACAAAAATATTCCCTTTACATTTAATCAATGTTTTAAATAAATTTTTTTTAACAGAAATAACTACATTGGTTACCTTGTTTCACAGAAATAGCTACATTGGTTACCTTGTTTCACAGAAAAAGCTACATTTGTTAACTTGTTACACAGAAATAGCTACATCGGTTACCTTGTTTTCTAGTTTTTTGGCTCCAAATCTCAGAAGAGCCAGCTCACATCCTTCTTTAATTTCCTCAGCGCTGATCTGCACAAAAGAAATGCAATGATATCTTTTTATGAACAACAAAATCATGGTTACTTTTGTTTAACTTAAAAAATTAATTAACTACTTTATTGTGATTTGAGATTATACTTGTAAAGATTAAAAATGAAAACTATAGAACCTTTAAGCCAGAGCTCAGCAGCCTGCTTACAAATAAAGGAATCATTTCTTTAAACCTACTGTTATGAAACAGTTGGACATATCTTGACCATTCTTTCGTGTCAGAGTCTTGGTAAATGGACTTTTTGAAACAATCTGAAACAAGGTTATAGTAAAAAAAAAATAATTTAAATATCGATGATACCATGCAAACAATATATATATAAAAGAGGGAATAAATAATATTGGCCTCATTCATTTAGTTTGAAAAGACATACATAGAATGGCAGCAAATTTTTAACTATTTTTTCATTTGATATTGAGAACTAATTATCAGAAATTAGCGAACCTGCCCAAGTGTGCACTCCATCTGACCCAGAAAGTCATCATCATCAAGTTTCTCAGTTGTATTGTCCAGGTCAAAAATCCTGATTCTGACATGTTGCACAGTTTCAAAGTGGTAATCTACTGTAAATGGTGTTGTAAATTTTGGATCCAGAGTGTTTTTGGCATGTTCTGTTCTGGAAAACTGGAATAAAAAAATATTTATCAAGAGCTTTCACATTTTCAAAATAATAATTAAAACGTTACAATGATTGCTAACTAACATAGGGGCCATCAATAAATGATGACCCATTTTATTTTGCTGATTTTGGACAGACCTCCCCTCATTACCACCAATTGGGTCACACAAAATTAAGACACCCATAATATCACATCGCCACAAAGGTGTGACCCCCCTCCCCCCCCTAGATGAGTGATGTCGTTTATGAATGCCCTTTTAGTTAGACCCTTGCTTTTATGGTAAATTCAATTGAACTAAAAATTAAGATGGGTAAAAAGGCACACTAAGGTTCGTGCACTTTCTGTGGTACATTTTCTATTTATATATACAAATCATGTCATTATACTCACTACTTCTTTACAAAAAAAAAATGTTATCTATGATTTTTTTCAAATGCAGTTGTTTTTTCCATCCAAAATGGTATAAACCAATACATTTTTTTAATGTACACACAAAATTCATTTTATATAGCTTGTGTTAGGTTATATAGTCTATTTCTGAATATTAGGATATTATCTTGTGTTTTTAACAGCAATGAACAGTGATTACATGGATTTTTTGGACGTCGTTGACATACACCAAGACACATCCATAGCCACCATATTGGAAACTATTGAGACGCCATCTTGTAAACAAAAGGCAAGTTCAAACCAACTATTTAAAGACACATCGAATACAGACAAAAGGCGTTCCCATAATCTTGGAGAAGAAAACCTCGTTCAAACAAAAATCACAGACTGTTCTCACTCAAGAGTTATTCATACCGCACACTTACACGGCGAATGTCTTGCTACAGGAGCAATGGAAAACACAAACAAACATTTCAAGGGCTGAGGGAAATATGTACGATGAATGTAAAAAACAAATTTCCATTTATTTGGATCAATAAAAATATCTTATCTTAAAGTTAAAAAACAAATTTCAACTATAACTAAGAGTTTTCCCAAACAAGTTGATGAGTATCAACAATTTATCCCTTACTAACATACCTCCTTGAATTTGTCATGGTATTTAAAATACAGAACAGCACATGGATCTGACAGAGAACCAATATCTCGGTTTGGCAGATTTTTACATGAAATTCTCAGCTCAACTTTTTGGACAAGTTGGCTGGCCCCAACACCAGGCACAGGATAAACTGCTTGTGGAGCTGCCATTCTGATATTGAAATAAATAATAAATAATAAAGTTATTTAAAACTTTTAGGGTGGAGCTGTAACATTAAATTGAAATAAATTCTACGATACTGCAAGCAAGCTGACTTTCTGTTTAACGGATACAGTGAACAATAATTAAAATTAATTACAATATTTAATTTGTTTTCACTTTCACTAAATGCACTGCACTTTTACTTTTAGTCTTTTATTATGACTAACAACTAGATATTAAAGTTAAAGTTTTCATTTGGTTGGCACTTTGAGTATTATAATTATACTTATACTCATAATTATTTAATAATCATTTTTTAGCTATTTTAAAATTGTTAAGATTAAGACTCAAGGCTACTGAGACTGAGTACTGAGAGTCACAGTGCATATAAATGATGATGATTAATAATGGGAATGAATGATGAATGATAAGTAAATCTGAAATAGCCAATTTAGTTAATTAACTTAATTGAGCCTAGCTATACTAAACTTACTAACTTAGCCTACTTAGCCCTACTACTAGTACTACTACTACTCCACTTGACTGATTCCTTCGAGTTTAAATTTCGCAATGCAAAATTTGATGACGTCTGGAGGCTTTGAACTCTACACTGCAGTGCTACCATCCCTTGGGATATTTCCATAGATCTTGGGAATTCATGATCCACCTTGGGAACTGGGGAATAATTATAAATCCTAAGGTCACCGGGTGCGGTATAATTTTTTTTTATTGAAGGGTCCGGATATTTTGAGAAAATATCCGGTGAGTTCAAGTGTTACAAAAAGGAGTTAACTTCTCATTTTCTATAATATGCAACGAAATCTACTTCCTACGTCGCAGTGGGAGTGCATTGACTTCGTCAAACGTATGTGTCAGCGGGCCGTCCATAAAGTACGTCACGCTATTTTTGACCATTTTTACCCCCCCCCCACCTTTCCCCCCTGAACACTTTCGCAAAATTAAAAAAAAAAAATTAACACCTAATTAAAATTTAATCTAAAACACACTTCACTATTAAACTGTATTAAAATATAAATTTTCCACTTAAAAGAACAATCACATTATTAAAATGACTTTAATAGTAGAATAGTTCATTGTCAACAGTTTTCACAGTTATTCATTAAAGCAGTAACTCAATCTAGATTGAATTTGAAAACAAAAATTGCAAAAATTAGACTAGACAATTGAATAATACACATCATTTATCTGCTGCTTTTTTCATTTACAAAAGGTGAGGTCAAGTTTTAGATAATTTCCGATTATGCAATCTTTTTACACAGGATAAGAAGTAGATTAGCGAATCTTGACCTCACCCAGTAATTAAATAATAAATAAGGTAACAAAACAATTTGATTAAAAAAGACTAGATTGACAAAGTATGTCACAAACTCTTGTGCTATTTTGAATCTGTTTATTATGGGCCTGTGAATTATGTTTAATTAAAAAATATTCACTGGACATCATGCATCCATGGTGAAGTGAAGTATTATCCATAGTTACGACTGGCATCAACCTTTCACCATCATCGTTTCCTGGAAGGATAATTGCAGACAGATCCACTTCATCCTCATCTAGCCACTCAACATCCTCTGAATGTGCATTTTCTCTTCTGGCAATAACTGCCATGAGTTCTCTTTGCCTTCTAGCAGCGATTCTCAAAGGACTGATCTGAGTTGATTCTGGAACAGTTTGGGTTGGCACATTCTCTCGAGCCCGAGCTCTGTGTTGCCCTGCATGTTTCTTCGACATTGTTTGTGAGGCAAATTATAAGTGACATACTTTGCAAATTCGATCAAGTTAGCTGGTCTGCAAAGATAGACAATAAAGATCATATAGTTGTACTTTGAAAACTCCTGTTGATCTCGGCAAGGCTATACATAAAGCAAGGCTTTACAACATCATACTAGCGCTCCTAGCGAGAGGAATCGTGAACAACACATTCAGGAGATACGCATTTCCTGCTATTTTGACATAAAACTAATTCAAATGTTTTACACAATTTTTGAAAATTATTTTTAAAGCTTTTAAATTCTACTAAAAAAATAAAAAATAAATTAGAAATAAATAAAAAAAAAAATGTGTGACATCACACATGGCATGACCCCCCCTCCCCTCTGTCACAAACTGTCACATTTTCCCCCCCCCCCCCCCCTCTGGAGCGTGCTGTATTTTATGGACGGCCCCCAACAGTTAATTCCGTATCCGGAAATTAGATCGAAAGAAATTTCGTCAACGGTAATTGATCGACGGTAATTTGATCGAACGGAAATTCGGTCGAATCATTTCTTCAGGTTTTTACGTTAAAATTTTGCTTCAAATTTCTTGTTGAACGCATTATTTTTTTTGACTCCATAGTCTGGTGCGTTCAAAAAGAAATTGGACGAAAATGTTAACGTGTGAACTGAAAAAAAAAAGATTTCCGTTCGATCAAATTTCCTTCGATCAATCTACCGTCGACGAGATTTCTTTCGATCGAATTTCTGTTAACCAAACTCCGAATAATAGTCACCTCCCCTAAAAGAAAACAAATCTATTTGCTCGTGAAGCTCGCTGCGTGTCAGTCTTTTTTCACTCAGTAGGCCTAATATTAATATGGGTTTGGGGGGGGGGGAG